AGTTTTAGTCCTCGCGGTTAGAAGTAATGAAGATTATCTATAATATTATATACGGACCTTTGGGACATGACAACAGGAGTTATTTTGAAATCATAATTTCTCGCTAGTCGCACTTACGGTCAGTTCCCAACCAAAGGTTAATTGATTCTCTGTCTCTTCTTAGATAATAAGATAGGTGGTCGACTCTCAATTCTGGTTAACGGTTAATCGACGTTTGCGAAACTGGCCCTTAGAGTTTGTGAATTGCCAGGTGGATTTCGAAATTGTCCGAGCTATATGCAGATTCTCTTGGAGCTATCAATTTTTACAAATTACACACCTTTCGGTCAGTGTGAAACTTCGGGATTTGTTTATCCGCGAATTTCTGAAATCCATCACGTTGCTTTCACGATTTTCTTTGAACGCATCTCAATACGTGGTTCTGTATATTCTCGGGTATATCAATCAATTTCCCGCTGCGTGAATCCTCGAACGTATCAATTCGGATACTTCAACTCAGGGCGAATCATGAAATGTATAGAAGCCTAAAATAAACGTTAAAAGGTCAAAATATTCTTTGATTCTCGTAGAGTGAAGTTGAAACTTTGTCTCGTAACATTTGCCAAGTGCCCGAGTGCCGAGATCCTCGCCTCATTCGCCCCCGCGAATTCCGTCTACGTTCGACATCGATTGTCGGGATAATCCGCGAATAAGCCACGCGGAATAAAGTTAATAACATGTTTTCGTTGCTGCATGTGCGGTTTGACCTCGTTGTAACCAGCGCGGAACGCAAGCGGCGCGGCGCGGCGGCACGTAATGGCCGCGGTGATGTAATTGGATATAATACGAGCAGAATGCGAATAAAACGGACGAGAGGAGGCAACGAGAGCCGGAGAGGCACGGTTTCCGTGTGAACGGTGCTTAAACCTCCTTGGCCACTGGCACGGTTGGGTACGACTCACTGTGCGAATCGATAGCGGGGTCGGGCCAACCTTTCTGCCATTTGTTTCCTTCGGTCATCGTTGCGCCGGGAACGGGAAAAGCAGCGGACGAGGAGCAACTTCTCCAAAAATGGCGACGCGCGCTGAAAAGATTTTCAAATGTTGTTAGAAGCTTTTGTTGTCTCGCATTCTTCCGTTATCTAGTGCGATGTGCCATTGCGGCGCCCGTACAAAGCCCCTTTGTGATCTCGGTGATGATGATTTATCTCCGGCGCTGGAGTTGCCGCCTGGAAATCTCCTACAAGCGGGAATTTATCTCCTCTTGATCCAATTGAGATTGCAGGCTCTTTCGGTTTTCTTTCGCGGATTAAACCCGATTCGGTTTTCAGTTTAGTAAGATTAAATCGATCGCATAATAATAGGGTGGATACGATTTCCCGATAAAAAGGAAACTTCTCTCTCTCGCGCCTGCTATTGATTGCAGCTCGAAAAAATTTCAGTGGTGGAGCGCGGCTAATTTCTCTACCGGGCGCGGAGCGCACTTGTAACAGCCAAGTAAATAATATCGCAACGTTTATTTTCTTTCTCAAGAAACCTCTTATCCCCCTCGCTATTATTACATTGAGATTATCGGCTCAATGCGACAATGCAATAACTGCGGGGCAATGAAATTGATAGTTATTATTTCCCAACCGGTTCTTTTATAATAATTCCATAACACAGCCACATTATTTTTACCATCGACGGTCTATTTTACGTTACGCGGGAGCTAATCAAGGGTGCCTGGACTGCGCTGCATTTTCTTGCTTTAATCTACGCTTATATTGTCTTTTCTACGAAGAGAGCAGTAGTTTTTTTTTCCCGAAGGCAGAAGCGCGTTAATTTTCGGGACGTTCAAACTCGGCAATCTTCCGAGCAACTCGAGGGTCGTTAAAAAAAAATCCGTAGCGTAGACGTTATCATAATTTCCAGGCCCTTCGATTATACATGACCGCGTTGCACCCTGCGCGAAGTGGCGGCTCCACCTGCTTCTATCCGGGGGTTACATGCATAATTGCATGCGCATTTACACGGCCACGGTGGCATATGGGCGCGGGTTGTCGCCGCTGCGGCGCGGCGGCCACAAAGAAACGCCGCGATGCCCGGAAGAAAAGCCGATACGCGCCGTCGCGGTTCGTGTGCATGTATTGTACATCGGGAGCGCGCGGTGCGCGACAATAGCGACGAAAAAAAAAGGGAAAAGGGAAAAAAGAAAGGGCAAGAAAAAACGCGGGAGAAGGAAGGAAATCGATCGTCTCTGTGGCCGCTGCACGCATGACCATTAACCTACATCGCATCACGATGCACGTGCATCGATAAAAAAAAAATACCGCTCGACGGCGATATTGCATTCGGGCATTCCGTGCCCGTGATAAGAATTATTCCGCGAATTCGCGCGGGGAATCACGCGGCCCGGCGTGACTATATGTATATCTGATACTCGAATCGAGATGGAGACGGATTGGTAGCCGCGCCGCGGAATAAAAAACCCGCGCTCGCTCGCGCGAGAGCTGAATGTCCCGTTACGTGCGCCGCGCCGCGCCGGGTGAAAGTGCGGCACGTCCGCTCTTTTTCCGCTTGTACTTTTTAACCGCGTTTAGCCCGAGATCTGTGACTGCGCGAGTTCACTGGGCCTGAATCTCTCTCGCGGAATCTACTTCGCTTCCACGAATATTGATCCGCTCTCTAAAAGTCGATCGGTGCATTGCCACTGAAAACAGTGATTTACACTTTACAAGTACAGCACTGAATAATTCATATATGTGTATAACTGCGAATCGGTGAATATTCACTGTTTTCAGTTGATAATCCACCGATTGACTTTTACAGAGCGGGCATAATTAACGGTTCGTTTCGACCAGTCCCGTTCGATAAACTCCCCTTTACGCATAATATTTGAGAAATGCTGGACAAAAATTTATTGTCGTTTGTGACAATTACATTATGCCAGAGGAAAGTATTACGAGACAGGCTTTTAATATATAGAGACAGCAGGTTTTCAACATCCAAATTCAAATCTTTTTTCGCGTTCGACTACACGATCTAACTCCGAGGACAGCAAACTCACGGTGGAACGAAGAGACGATGTCTGTTGAATTTAGTAGAAAATCCGCTGTCTCATATTAGGAGCCTGTCTCATAATAGGGGACTTTCCTCTACTTAATATTGCGTTACCATTGATTGGTGGGATATTGATCTTATAGAGAAAATCCCCGCGAGAGTCTAACTTTCCTCTCTTCAAGGCGCCTCTGTTTCGAGATCGCGCGCACTCGATCGAGCGACGTCCAATTTTATTCTTTCGGATGCATGAATATTCGAGGGACGTGGCAGCGGAGTAAACGGCAGCGAGTAACGAGTCGCCGCGTTAACGATCGGGCATTTCTATTTCATCGCATCGATAGAATCGGTACCTTCGATTGCAGCTGGTGCAATCACGCGATGCATTATGAAGCGCGGTAGGTTCGCCTTGACGGGCGATCGTTAGCGCGGATTGATCCGCGCGTTTTCGTGTCGCGACGCCCCATCGTCCTCGTTGCTCCGTTAATTCCGTATAAACCGATGGAATCGATGCCGTCTACCGAATAAATTAGCGGATGCGCGCGCGCGCGCGCGAGCGCGCAGATAAAAGGGCGAGTGTATACAGGGTGAGTCTTTCCATATCCGACAAAATTTTTGAGAAGGTAGAACGGATCGAGATGAACGAAAAAGTCCTGTACCATTTTGCAATTTTCGTAATAGTTAACGAGTAATTAATTATTAAAAATCGTTGTCTTAGGCCGGCCTACCGCCCAATTCGAGCGCGTGGCAAGATGTGACCGCCCGGCGATCGATATTGCTATGCGCACATCTCGCCACGCGCTCGAATTGGGCGGT